GAAGAGTTTGTATCAGGTTTCTTCTCCTCCCCAGTGAGATACCCTAATTTTCCACCGGCACCAATAGCCATCTTAGCTGATTGTGCCCACTCCAAATAATTTGTACCATCAAGTTTTACTGTATTAATGATCCCAAACCCAAAAATATCACTACTACCTCCAACACCCAGTCCCACAATACCGATAGATTTCATCTCGGTACTCCAACTCTCCATTTTACTTCAAACTATTCAACGGTAAGAAAAAAATAGATTGAAGACCTATAAAAAATGATTTAATACCACACACACATAAACCAACCCTTCCAGAAGAAGAAAACCCTAGTTGGAGGGAAATCTCTCTCCTCCCCATGCCTCCCAACAGAGAGAAAAGTGAATCGATCACTCCGGGAGGCCTAGAAAATTTCAAAAACCAAACCGCCTCTTAAGAAAATCAAAAGAAAACTAACAGTACCTGGGCGCCCAAGATCATATCAAAAACAAAGAGTCCAACTTTTCTGGGACTCTTCCCCATACTCCAGTTCTTCCTGATTTTGATGTCGAATAGTAGATCACCTTCCTGATGTCTAGATCCCACAAAAAAATCCAAGAACTAGGCAATCTATAACAGATCGATCAGCCCTTTACTACTTCATGCAGTCGGCTGATCTAGGGCTGCATGAGAATGCTTCAAGAAACCCTAGTCGATGCTCTGATACCAAGTAGAAATCTACTGAATTAAAAAATATGAAAGAAGAGAGAAGGAGAAGAAGAGAATAAGAGAAGTTGAAAGAAAAGAGAGCAATAATCCGGCCGCCCCCTTCACTTATTATTTATACTAAAATAATAGAACAATACAAAGACAACTATGCCCTTATAGGGCGGCAAAACATAAAACAGCATACATAACACTCAAAAAACATAATAAAATTTGGACTCACATAACTACTATGGTCCCCACCTCCTATCTAACAACTAACATAAAACATCTACTCAGAAAAATATCATAAAACTAATTAATCTTCAACAACTTGCTCTCTATCTTAAATCTTTATCATATAAAATTATAGCCTTCTTTAAATGCTAATTTGTTATGAAATTGTTTCTATTAAATACTTATTTTATAACTACTATTTTAGAAAATATTTAAATTAATATATATTAAAATACTATTGTCATTTATACCTCATGATTTTCTATGTTCTAAAAGGAAATTTAATGTTCTTAATAAAGAGAGTTGTCATTTTTTCAATTAATAATATACATTCTTATCGGTATATAAAACAATGAAACCAACCTAATTTTAGCTTTTATTTTATAAATTTCTTATTGTCTAGGCAACACCTATGCCTAGATGACTAGGTGCCCCACTGCTATCCAAAATCACCAGATACCTTGGCAACTATCATCTAATGAGGTGTCCAAAGATATCAACTCTCCAATATTAGAACAAGAACCATGAGAAGCAATTGGTGGTTGAGCAATTTGTTAATGTATTTTGGTGCTTAAAAATCACATAAACCCCATATGTTAATTAAGAATAGGAACAAATCAATATTTTTTGAAGTTAGGAATGGTAGTGCAATACAGTGTCCTATCTCTGAGACCTTCATTGGATAGAAAAGTAGGAAAATGTAAACTTGCAAATGGGGATATTTCTCATGAAGTTTATGGTGCAAGATGGTGGCAAAAAATGCAGAAATAGATGATTCATGGTTTAAGTCTTATTATAATGCTAATATCTGCCACCACGTGGAACAATCTGACATTGAAGGCATTTGAGTAATCCCATTCCACCTAGAATGGAAGCTTTTTGAATGGCTGGTGACCCTAGACAGTATTCTTACTATGCATCACTTAAAAAGAAACATCTTTCATTTTACCAACTTATGTTACCTGTACATGAGAACAACAACAATGTGATAGATTTATTCATAACATGTAGCATGGAAACATTCTTGTGGGGATATTTCTTTACTTTGTTTAGAAGACAAATATGGCAGCTGCTGCAGCCTCATAACATGTAGCATGGAGACATTCTTGTGGGGATATTTCTTTATTTTGTTTAGAAGACAAAGATGGCAGCTGCTGCAGCCTCATGATATTTTCTCTTCTTGAACCAACTTTCTTAGGAATAGGAAAGCAAAAAATTTTAAAGTTCTGTTCCTTGTTAAGTTTATTGGGGAATTTGGAAAAAGAGAAATAGAAGAACCTTTGATGGAACATATAAGGATCAAAAGGGGTTATGTGTTGATGCAATCAATATGATTTTAGACTGGATTTTGGTGCAGCCAGAACTTATGAATGTTCAAAGATCTTTTGGTTCTTAACTTTTGGTCTACCTTGGATATAGTGACAGGCATTGAAGGCACATGAGTAAGTTTTGTAAGTTCACTTTTCGAATTTCCTTTTGACATAAGTAATCTGTTACAAGTTGTAAAGGATAGAAGAGCTAGGGGCAGACCAAAAAGAACATGGGTTGAGGTAGCAAGAAATGATTTAAGGGCTCATAATTTAACAGTGGATATGGCACTGAACAGAACAGAATGGTGAAACAGGATTCATGTGGCCAATCCCATATAGCTGGGAGTGTTGGATGATGATGAACGTGAAATGCAACTTAGTGATCAACAAAAACAGGTAGAGACCATGATATATTTCATTAAGAACAGAAAACCCATAAGGGGAAAATGTGCCATGCTATGCAATTTTTAATACAAAAGAACATACCAAAGTAGTCACGCAGAACTGTTCGCCAGCCCCTTCACAATCTGAAGCAGTTACAATTGGGCTTGAAATCCAGACAAACCCATTTTCTTGAAAGAACTTATGTGTAGCATAGGCCAAAGCATTCCTTACTCTTGAAACCTAAAACCAGCTTGCACAATACAAATGGACCACATTATTCACCTAAAGAAGACAGTGGAAGAATCTACTGCCATTCATTAAAAAAAGGAAAAAAAAACACTACATGGTATAGCAGGATAATCATACTGACGTAAAAGAACAAGCTCAAGATAACCATGTAATGAAGCCATGGGATTAATTCACTTATACAGGCATTATTCTTATTGGTTCTATATGTTTCTCTCTTGGATGAACCTAGGATTTTTTTATCAGACAATTTACAACAATAACAAATTCAGTTCCTCTGTTCTTCTGCTCTTGGTGAGTGAGAATTTCTACCTATCAATCTCTCTTGTTGAAAGCAACTTCCACTAAATTGTATAATTTTCTAACAAATATCTCAAGATACTAATAAGAAGAGAATTACAATGTAATTTAGTAAATAGAAAACAGAAGCATACAGCACCAAATGTATTTGTTCGAGGACGAAGATGCGCCTTGGTTCTCAAAAATTCTCTGCTTATCCTTTTCTTTTGAATAGGAAAAGAAGGGTCACTCTTCCCAACCTGTAAGAAGAATTATGAATATCATATTAGCAACATTCTTACCATGAGCAAAGTTAACCTCTATGGTCCATGGTGTTTGGACTGTAGGGAACTTGCTAGTAGCTGAAAAGAAAAAAAGGCAAAAGAAAATTAAAAAGCATACAAAAAAAAAAAGTCTTGAAATTGTAATACCAGGCTTACTCCCCCCCCCCCAAGGGCACATTCTTGAGGTTATTGTTTTATGATCCAACAACACATGGTGGTTTGGAGGATTCTAACCTGTCTATGTCAGATGCAATGTTTTTAAAATGTGGAGGCGTGACGCAAGGCGTTCCACTACCTAGAGGCGTGAGGCATAGTTCAGAACGCAAGGATGTAAGCCTCTCGAACACAAGGAGGTGTAAGCCTCCTTAAGAGGAGGGGGGTTAGGAGGAGGAGGAAGGGGGGACAAATTGGGCTGCAACGGAAAGGGGGTGAAGGGTCTGGGGGGTGATGAAAGGGATTATAGAACAAAAGAAGATTGGGCAGCATCTGAAGAATGGGGGATTTGGAACAAGTGCAGATGGATAAAGTACACCACTTGGATAAGTCTTTGTCCATTGATAAGGTTGCCCAGCATGAAGCTTAAGTGGACACATCTCTGGGTTTATTCTTCTTGAGTGGAGATGACCTTGCAGCAGCTACTTCTAAAAGATTGGAAAAAGAAGGTAATTTGTTGGAGAAAGCAACAACTTCTCAAATTACTCCAGAAAAAGAGGTGTTGGAGGATCTAAATGAGGAGATAAACAACTTCCTATGCTTGGATGGAGTGGAACCCAGTGTTGTTCAAGGAAGGGACTGCAGAAAGATCGAAAAAGACTTCCAAGTCTCAGGGGTTTTCTAAATCCAAAAGAGTCCAGACAAAGAATACTGGAGGCAGAGGACAATGGGGGGTAGAAACAAGAGTCACTTGAGGTCCATGGGTGATGTGGGCTGGTTCTGATTCATGCCATTTTGTTTGTGTTTAGTACCTTCCTTGTGATTAGGTAATGAGATTATTGTGTTTTGGGGTGTTATTTCAGTGGTTTGTATTTTTGCTTATTTGACCTCGTATGGAAAAAAAAAAAAATCCAATGGTCTTGGCTAGATATTACAAGACAAGAAGTGGTGTGAAGGAACCAGGTATATAAGTGGTCCTGCACTTAAATTGACAGGGGAGAGGGGAGAGTTGATGTAGCGGCATCATCCTGGTTTGACAAGCAAGACTAAACAGGAACTCGGATCATCCCCGAAGGAGAACTACCAGCAAGAATAACAAAATCCCATGACAATAGAAATTTCACAATTTTTGGATTTTCCTACTTCTGGTCAATTTTACTTTTTTAGAGTTGCTTTCTAGCTTATAGGTGTCATATGAGTATATCTTTTTGAACAAATGTCATAAGAGTATATCTAACGAGTCTAAAGAGTCTTTAGAATTTAGAATTTAGAAAATTTAAAGTCGCATGCTCATAACGCTTCTTTTGGCCTAAGGTTGAGGGATAACAGCTTGTCTATATGACTTGATTTTCATGTCATTAGATAGATTATTCAGTTACCTATCCAATGAGACCAAGATATTGTGAATCTAATGTTTTGTCAGAGTCATAACCATTACTATTGAGGTGTCAGTTAAATGACAGGATTTTGGTCTTTTACAATTTTTGTTTATCTTGGAGTTGCTTTTGGGTCATTTAGCCTTGTTAGGGTAACAAGTATATATTATTCCAGAGGCTAGGGGTGCAACTTTTCCGGGTTAGGGATGGGATTTAGTCAAAATTTCAATGGGCCCAACCCGAAGCCCGAGCCTGTAACAGTGTAAACTTTTAACTCGGGCCAACCCAACTTGCACCCCTATCCAGAGCCATTCAAGGAATTAGAATCCATATTTGACTATCCCTATGGACTTCATATGGGTTTGCCTTAGTCCTAGTGCAATTAGGAGTCATTTCCAGTCAGTTTCAAGGTTGAAATTAGAGTCTGCAAAGAGAGATTCATTGAGTCTATAAAACAGTCATTATAATTGGGATTTTACGAATTAATTTGATCAATAAAAGTTTGCAAGTAAAAAACCAACAAGTTATAAGTTGATATCTTCTTATGCATAGCAACCAACAATCGTCTACAATAATTAGCAATGGCATTCATCAAATAACTAAACTTCATATCAAAACATAGAAAATCATCATATTCATGAGAAGATAGACATTTAAATATATTAATCCCAATATTTCAAATATAACATTGCAATATGATAATAACAATAATTCAATAAGGCAACTACATTAAAAAATAAATCAACTTTTTCGTTAAACAAAGGAATATTACATGTAATTCCATACCAAATCACCCCTAAGTTCTAACATAATTTTTCTTCAAGCATTCTAAAGCATGTAGTATTTATGAAAGAAAAGGCACTAGCCATAAGCCAATGAACCATTCGATTCAGTCATTTCATCAACCTTAATCAGACAGCCCCTAAGATAATCTTTCTTTAATTAAAACATTCACATAGTCTGTTTACATGATCTTAATTTAGATTTAGAGTACAAAGTTCTGGAAAAGGAAAAAAAAAACTTTCAAGTATATAACGGAAATAGATGCAGAAAACATTAAGAGTTCAAAATTGTTAATAATTACTCAGTGCATCATATTCATTTCAATAGAATGAACCCAGCCAATTAAAATATGTTAGGTATGTTTTAAAGTGCCCACCTAGCATCTTTAGACATGCACCTAATGGGCTGAGAGAGCAAGCCCAGCACCTTTTCTTAAAATACTTGAGGCAATGCAATAAGGATACCCCCCAAGACCACCTAGGCATTGCCTTATAGTCATGTCAGACTTCTCAGACCCAAGCCCAGCCTGTACCCACAATATCATTGAGCAGTGCAGGGTTCAGATACCCCTGCTGCTGCTGTTATCAATTAAAAAAGCAAAATAGTAAAAACAAAAGAAAGGACCTATCATGTTTTTCAAGCAGTGGGGACAAGTAGATAGATGGAGAAAAAGGGAAAATGTGATGGAATTTGTATAGAAGATGCAATGCAACAGCACCTTTTAATAGAACAATACACCACAATATTGGAATATGACAATTAGTAAATTTTAATATACTCAAGGTATTAAGTACTCGTGAACATAATAGCCAGGATACCATAATAGAATCATAATATTCTCTAACCATGTTAAGTTTTAACCACTCCAAACCAATTGGAGATATTCAAAGGTTAAAATATTAACCCCAACCTACAAAGTCATATTATGAAGGCATACATTACCATGAGAAAACTACTACTTACATTTTAGACCCTTGCATAACATAATCCAATATGTGCAAAACCGATCAGGGACAAAAAAAAAAGCATGTGCACAACATGCAAAGCAAGTATGAACTATGAAATTATAATCATCTCTTTCCGGCATAATCTCTGATATGCAACAGACATTAACAATTTCTATGTAAGGTTGTACCAGTATAGCCAATATATCGGCAAAAAGGAAAACAATAAATGTATGATACAATTATGTTGATTTCCTGCCCAAGAAGAAAAAGCAATAGGTTCCTCACAGTGATGACTTTAGTGACCCTCAATTCCACTTTCTGCCCTGAACCTTGACTTTCTACAATGGCACCCTCCACCCATACAGATGCACCAGTTGAAATGGAGCCAGATTCCACCTGATAAGAATCTCAAGCATTGGCAAATTATTACCGTGTCATATATTTTCAGGGTAATCACCATGTACTCAAATGGGAAATTCATATTTATGTTAATGTAAAATTTTGCCTCTCTAGGGTGTCCCAGGGATTTGAGGATTATAGCTTCCTGGTTTAAGGCACCAGTTCTAAGTCATTATTAACAATTTTTTTGAAAAATCTAAGTCATTATTAACATTACACAGTTAATCCAGCATTAACATATAAGAAAGATAATATATATAAATAGAGATAAATGGAGAACAAACAGTATTTAACCTCTCTTTAAAACCCCTTCTTATGGGTAAAAGCAAACTCAGTATTAACATAAATAAAATAAAGGAGGGAGAATATCCAATATCTAAAAAGTACAAGCTGCTTAGTGGATTGGGTCTCTACTAAACTACTTCTTGCAAGACAAATGAGAAATTGGACATGTCATCTTATTCTGATTCAACAGTGGTAGTTTCTGGGCAAGAGAAAAGGAAAGAAAGTAATGCATGGGTGGAAAAGGATGCTCAGGTTTGTCATTACTTAGTTTGCAGCAGAAGTTCAGGAGGTGTTTCTGATGGAGATCACATTGAGACTGATGCACCCCACAGGTTTCGCTTTTACACTTACATTAGGTCAAACGACATTAGTTTAGGACTTATTTTGCTTAATGTAGGATTTGGATTCATTTCTAAAGTTCCTTTTTTTTGTTGTCATTGGGTTCATTTGTAATGTTTCTTTTTAGTAGGGGTTTACTTGTAATTTTCAATTTTAAGTTTCTAATAGAGTCTAACATTATGTATTAGGGTTATGTCATGTTTTTGAGAAATAGAAATTTTATAATCCGTCTTCTTCAATTTGTCCTCTCTCCTCTCCACTGCTCATCTTCTTCCTCTTGTTTCTTCCTCCTTCCTTCTAACAGGGGTGCTACATCGGTTTGGTATCAGAGCCTTGCTCTGACCCACACTTCCTCCTCTCTCTCTCTCTCTCTCTCTCTCTCTCTCTCTCACCGCTAGGGCTGCACATGGATCGATACGGACCGAATGGTTCAGTTTTATATAATTTTGTCAACTAAACCAAAAGTGTTGGGCTCCTTTTTATGCAAACTGAAACCAACCAATTGGCATCAAAACCGAAACTCTCGGTTTGATATGATCGTTGATCGGTTTAATCGGTTTTAATTAAACTGAATGCAAATTCCGATAAAAAATAGTATGAAGCAGCTAAACTGATTAAAAAGACCCATGTATGATCCACTATAAATACATATTTTCGCTACATGTCACCGACAACAAAGCAATTATTTATTAGAGTTAGACTTTTGTGTTTTTTTACTTAGCAAATGATACAAGTGCATAGAACTATTAACTTTCAAGGGTAAGATATTAAATCCCAACCACACATCTCCCATGTATTAGCATGCATGCCAGGTATGACATCAGATCCCACTCAGGCCCATGAAGTTTGTGACTCATATTTTCATTTGTTGCCATGAAAGCATGATTCATTTTTTACTTTTTTTAGGTTCACCTTTTTAGAGTTTAACTTTTTGTGAGATAGACTAAGTCAATTAGTGCCTGAAAGACTGGAGAGTAGAAAAAACAGGCCAGCACCTGACTCAACAAAGAATAGAAAAAACATTAACATGGGAAAACACTTTTAATGTACATATCGATTCGGGTCAGTTTTACTTCGGGTTACAAAGGTGTTACCCTCAACTGAACCGAGTCATCGGGTTGTAACATTTTTAAACCAAAACCGACCGACTATCTCGGGTTAAATCAGTCTGATTTGATCAGTTTGGTCGGTTTTTAACATTCCGTGAACAGCCCTACTAACCGCCTCTTTCTCTCCCACTGTCCCCTCTTTGTTTCTTCTCCTCTTTCTTCTTTTCCTTCCTCTTCTCTTTTCTTCTTTCTTTCTCTCTTTATTTTCCTTTCCCTTTCCTGTTGCTACAGCTGAAAAATTACAGTCAGCATTGCCTCTGTCCCCTTCATTGTTTTTCACTTTCTTTCCCTTCTCTTCTCTTTATCCTCTTAGTCTCTTCCCTGTTTTTCTGTTCCATGCCAATCATCCAATCTTATAGCCTGAACCAGTCACTAATTCAAACTAAAAAACATGGTGTAGCGGCAGATGAAACAACCGCTTCTTGAGTTAGAAACACAACTGCAACAGCGTTCGGAAGTTGTTGTCTTCATTTCCTGCAACTAAATTAAGCAACATCAAGAGTAGGGGTGTCCATGAAAAACCAAAAAAACCGAAGCGAACCGAGAAAACCAAACCGCAAAATGTGGTTAACCGAACCGGTCGGTTCGGTTTCGGTTTGGAAATTTTTGAAAAACTGAAGGACCGGTTCGGTTTTCAGTTAACCTATAAAAAAACCGACGGTTAACCGAACCGACCGGTATATATATTTATATGTATATTTTATATATATTTTTAATATATGTCACATATTTTCTATGTATTTTATATAAATGCATATTCATTATATATAAATATATACTTATATTATATTTATAATGATCTATTTACAAATATATTATATATTTTTAAAGAATTTATAATATATTATATATCATTTATTATTTATAATATAATATTATACATATATTATAAATATAAAAAACCGAAAAACCGAAGAATCGAACCGGTCAAAAACCGAAACCAGCGGACCAGTTAACCGGTGGTACCAGTTCGGTTTCGGTTTGGCAAAATGAAAAAACCAGTACCACCAGTTCGGTTTACAAAAAGGGGCCATGGTTCGATTAACCGAACCATGGACACCCCTAATCAAGAGGCCTTCATCATGGAAACTACTACTCACCCACAACATACAGAACATCACAAAGAAGTAATGTTTGTTGAATAAATACCTAAGAATCCTTTCTACAGCCTCCATATGTGGTACCTTGGGGGAATGCATGAACTGGCTTAGAACCCCAACAGCATAAGCAATGTCCAGGCATGTCATAGACAAATAAAGCAATCTTCCCACTAGTCTTTGAAACCGTTGCCCATCTTTTGGTGGTTCTCCATCACAATCACCCAGTTTATGCTCAACAACCATAGGGGTATTTGTTGGTTTTGCACCTAGTTTGCATGTGTCTAGTAAAAGATCAAGGGTGTACTTCCTCTAAGAGATGAAGATATCCTTTTTTGAGTGAGCAACTTCAATCCCAAGAAAGTACTTTAGGGGACCCATATCTTTCACCCCAAATTGGGAAGCTAAGAACTCCTTTAGCTTTTGTATCTCAGAGCCCCAGTTCCCTGTACTGATGATGTCATCCACCTACACTATCAACACTACAACCTGCTCCTAGCACCTCTTAACAAAGAGATTGTGATCAGACTAAAATTGTTTGAACCCAACTTGTTGAACTACCACATAAAACCTACTCAACCATGCTCTGGGTTGAGTAGAGAGACTTTCTCAACTTGCACACCTTACTTTCACTCCCTTTGGCATGGAAACCAAGTGGTTAAGCCATGTACACTTCCTCTTCCAAATCACCATTCAAGAAGGCATTTTTTACATCAAGTTGGTGCAACTCCCAGTCAAGATTTGCAGCCAATGATATAAGGACCGGAACCAAATACATCTTTGCCACTAGAGCAAATGTCAAATCATAACACCGTAGACTTGAGTATACCCCTTTGCTACCAACCTTGCTTTGTACCTTTCTATTGTCCCATCTACCTTGTGTTTCACTATAAACACCCACTTACACCCCACTTGGTCTTTCCCTTATAGAGGGCATTAATTTTCTCCTTCATAGCATTTGTCCATTCAGGGTAAGTCAAAGCCTCTACCACATTTTTTGGTATGGGAATACTATCAACGGCTAACAAAAAGGCACAATAAGAGGGAAAAATATATGGTCATGGGACACATCGTGGGTAATAGGGTGTTTGGTAGTGCATGACCCGATTCCTTTTCTTTGGGCAATAGGAATGTCAAGATCATCTACAACTAAAATGGGAAGAGTGCCTGGCTCAGTTGGACTTGCCTCCCAAGAGTCTGACAGTGTCGGTTGCTCGGTATCCAATAGCTCCACATCTTTAGAACAATGTTGATCTCTATGTCACTTATGCAGGAAGACACAAAAAAGAGAAACCTGACGGACCTGCTTCTCCTCCATACTACTCTCCCCTTGAGGAGAAGCTAGATAGAATGGTTCAGAATCAAAAAAAGGAAAATAGAGACAAAATACTTACAACCAATGGGATCAAAACACCGGTAACCTTTTTGAGAGGAGGGGTACCCAAGGAAGATACATGAAATAGACCAAGGGTCCAACTTACCATGGTAAGGAGACAAATCATGAGCAAAGGCACAACATTCAAACACTCTCATAGGGATGGAAAATAAAAGTGACTGAGGGAACGATAACCTGATGAGAGGTCTTTATAGTTCAATACTCTAGAGGGCATACGTTTTTTTTTATAAATGATGATAATTTTATTAGATCATAAATAGGTTTAAGATTGAAAGTTTATACAACCCTCGAAGAGGCATGAGTTGCAGCCTCCCCCAACAAAATATATGGAAAATAAAAAACAACATAAATCACAATTGAGCCCAGAAAAGGTCTTCCTGTTTGCCCCTTGCTTGGCTATGTAGCAACAAGTATAACATCTATCCAAAATCGTTTTGGTACATTCATATGTAACATCATCCCTCATGCTACTTTAAGAAGGTGTTTGTTCTTTCTTTTTGCAACACCGCCTTTTGGAGGTGTTTTTGCACATGAACTCCGATGAATCGATCCATGGGTCATGGCAAGCAAAAAATTCATTGAGATCACCATGGAAATATTCTTTTGCACTATATGATTTGAAGATTTGGATCTCAACATGAAACTATGTGAACACCATGATCTGGAAGTCCCTTATAATTTTTGGAACTTTGTCTCTAGTACGCATGGGAGATACCCATGTATAGCAGGAAAAGTCATCAATCAATGTGATAAAATACTTATAACCGCCCC